ATAATATTTATTGTAATTACATATGGTTACGATTTATTAAAATTTTTGATAATTAATACAATTGAACAGTTTAGGGTTAAAACAAAAGAAAATTAAAATTTATTTTAATTAAAACATAGAAGCTATAATAATATTAATTTATTATTATATTATCTTATAATAATTGTTAACAGTACTTACGCCTTTCCTTAAAATCAGAAAGTGTAATAATTAGATTATTAGGTATTTATAAAAAAGGCCATTTTGTCTCCAAAACGTATTAAAATTGTAGTAATTTGTTCCTAAATGGCGCAAATTCTGAAATTTATTATTAAACAACACTGTTTTGCTTAAGTGCCGAAGCACAAATACGCCTGCTTTCATGCCGGAATTTAAACGGCCATATTGTTTTTCTCTTATTCTCGAATTTCAAATAATAACAATTGTACCCATGCTGTGCCTGAGACACTCTGCATAACATGGCCCTTAACATATGGACTGCATCGAATTGGCAAGGTTGTTCGAGGTATTTTTAGCATGGTTATGCCATCACTTTAAAAATATGTCAAATGCTTTTTTTGACAAATGTTTTTCATTGAGTTGTTAATTTAGTTAATTTAAATAAAAGAAAATAAAGTGATTATTAAAAGCAGAGTTGGTATTGACTCATTCATGCAGCTCACACGTGTAGCAATAGTACGAACGACATGGCAACCCTTACAATCAGCCGATTGTCACTTTCACAAAACGGTTTTCTTCGGCAACCATAAATAAGAGTGTTATTATAAGTCATTAATGACCAAGAGCCAATTATTAAGTGAGTACAAAATTTGCTCATGATCGTGTCCCCAAAATTTTTTCATATTGATAAGTTGCTTATCGGCGTGTGCCTTCAATTTGCTCATATTAAAAACCTGCTCATGAGATCTCACGAACCGTGAGCTCAACTAAAAAAAGAGCTTACTGGAAATAGTTTTTTATTATATTTAAGATATAAAAATTTTATTTCGCTTGTTTTTCGCATTTTAAGCAAATTGTTTTATTACATTCATGTAAACTTTGAATAACTTTTTTTTGTTTTCAAATTTTCCGAAACACAAAAATTTTAAAACTCTTGAATTAATATAAAACGACTAAGTAAGTGAACGCACAAAATTCAAATTAATAGTGGCACGTGCCAAATTGTGCAACGAAAACAACAACAACAATGCCATATATTTTTCATTTTCTAGTATGCAGCATCTTCTTGTAAACAGCGCATAAGATCTCATGAGCATCGGCTCGAACTCGTACTCACGAGCGTGAGCTAATTTATAACTTATAGTACATTTTCACTGGTTACTTAGTAAGCTTAACTTACTGAGTAAATTTCATAAACCATACAAAGAGCTATCGTGCTTTTTCATTTACTATTAAATATAGTAAATTATACCAAAAATGACGAAAATTAAAGTTAAATTAAAAAAAATTAAACAAACAATCAAAAAATCAAAACAAACAAGAGGTAAGCATGTTTTTAAATATATCTTTTTAATAAATACAATGTAAATATTTGCTTTTGTAGACAATACTACAACACGAAGATTATGAAACATGGCAAATAACATCAATTCGAATAGCAAAAAATACCAGAGATTTAGTGGCTCATATATATTATATTATATACTTCAGAGTCAACTAAATGTATACGACTTAAATTGTAAAGATAAAATCTGGCTAAGAATATCTTAAGTCTATATAATAATAGATAACCCTAAAAACAAGGTAAGATCGGAGGAATTTTTTATATTCTGTTATATAAAATTTAGTAAAATGTTTTAATACCAGCATTCTATGTTGGATGTCCAAGCTATGGAAATCATGCCAAATAAAAGTGACAATATTAAATCGTGTATAGACGATTTTCCTAAAATTATTTCTAATCTGATAATGCACTCTCTTATCCTATCGTTGCTTAATACCAAATTTTCTTTAAAAACTCAGAACCATTTTTTTTGCAATCTTGTTTCCAAAACTTCTTCATTCTTTTCTAAAATAGCAACTCATTCAAATTTTACTCTTTATTTGATAATATTTACTGCCCGTACTTACCAGCATATCCAGCACATCCTTTGGTTTCAAGTAATTGTAGCGGAGCATTCAAACAAATTTGCTTAAAAGTCTCGTTTGAAAAATCAACATAAGCATGCGTGCCAAGGCACAAGCAGTTTAGTTCACTCTGAGCTTTAAAGGAGGTAATATCTCTACAGTACAGTTAAACTAATATTGTAATTTCATCTAGATTATATTGGTTGTTGTCTGTATTATGTTGGTTATTGTAATTTTTATCTAGTTAGTAAGCTAAGAATTGTAATCGTTAATAAAGAGAATAGTCGATGACACTTGTTTTTGAATAATTTGTGGTTTTTATAAATCATTGCATTTTTTTCTATATACAACAATTGCTGCATTTATTAAAAAACCACAAATTATTCAAAAACAAGTGTCATCGACTATTCTCTTTATTAACGATTACAATTCTTAGCTTACTAACTAGATAAAAATTACAATAACCAACATAATACAGACAACAACCAATATAATCTAGATGAAATTACAATATTAGTTTAACTGTACTGTAGAGATATTACCTCCTTTAAAGCTCAGAGTGAACTAAACTGCTTGTGCCTTGGCACGCATGCTTATGTTGATTTTTCAAACGAGACTTTTAAGCAAATTTGTTTGAATGCTCCGCTACAATTACTTGAAACCAAAGGATGTGCTGGATATGCTGGTAAGTACGGGCAGTAAATATTATCAAATAAAGAGTAAAATTTGAATGAGTTGCTATTTTAGAAAAGAATGAAGAAGTTTTGGAAACAAGATTGCAAAAAAAATGGTTCTGAGTTTTTAAAGAAAATTTGGTATTAAGCAACGATAGGATAAGAGAGTGCATTATCAGATTAGAAATAATTTTAGGAAAATCGTCTATACACGATTTAATATTGTCACTTTTATTTGGCATGATTTCCATAGCTTGGACATCCAACATAGAATGCTGGTATTAAAACATTTTACTAAATTTTATATAACAGAATATAAAAAATTCCTCCGATCTTACCTTGTTTTTAGGGTTATCTATTATTATATAGACTTAAGATATTCTTAGCCAGATTTTATCTTTACAATTTAAGTCGTATACATTTAGTTGACTCTGAAGTATATAATATAATATATATGAGCCACTAAATCTCTGGTATTTTTTGCTATTCGAATTGATGTTATTTGCCATGTTTCATAATCTTCGTGTTGTAGTATTGTCTACAAAAGCAAATATTTACATTGTATTTATTAAAAAGATATATTTAAAAACATGCTTACCTCTTGTTTGTTTTGATTTTTTGATTGTTTGTTTAATTTTTTTTAATTTAACTTTAATTTTCGTCATTTTTGGTATAATTTACTATATTTAATAGTAAATGAAAAAGCACGATAGCTCTTTGTATGGTTTATGAAATTTACTCAGTAAGTTAAGCTTACTAAGTAACCAGTGAAAATGTACTATAAGTTATAAATTAGCTCACGCTCGTGAGTACGAGTTCGAGCCGATGCTCATGAGATCTTATGCGCTGTTTACAAGAAGATGCTGCATACTAGAAAATGAAAAATATATGGCATTGTTGTTGTTGTTTTCGTTGCACAATTTGGCACGTGCCACTATTAATTTGAATTTTGTGCGTTCACTTACTTAGTCGTTTTATATTAATTCAAGAGTTTTAAAATTTTTGTGTTTCGGAAAATTTGAAAACAAAAAAAAGTTATTCAAAGTTTACATGAATGTAATAAAACAATTTGCTTAAAATGCGAAAAACAAGCGAAATAAAATTTTTATATCTTAAATATAATAAAAAACTATTTCCAGTAAGCTCTTTTTTTAGTTGAGCTCACGGTTCGTGAGATCTCATGAGCAGGTTTTTAATATGAGCAAATTGAAGGCACACGCCGATAAGCAACTTATCAATATGAAAAAATTTTGGGGACACGATCATGAGCAAATTTTGTACTCACTTAATAATTGGCTCTTGGTCATTAATGACTTATAATAACACTCTTATTTATGGTTGCCGAAGAAAACCGTTTTGTGAAAGTGACAATCGGCTGATTGTAAGGGTTGCCATGTCGTTCGTACTATTGCTACACGTGTGAGCTGCATGAATGAGTCAATACCAACTCTGCTTTTAATAATCACTTTATTTTCTTTTATTTAAATTAACTAAATTAACAACTCAATGAAAAACATTTGTCAAAAAAAGCATTTGACATATTTTTAAAGTGATGGCATAACCATGCTAAAAATACCTCGAACAACCTTGCCAATTCGATGCAGTCCATATGTTAAGGGCCATGTTATGCAGAGTGTCTCAGGCACAGCATGGGTACAATTGTTATTATTTGAAATTCGAGAATAAGAGAAAAACAATATGGCCGTTTAAATTCCGGCATGAAAGCAGGCGTATTTGTGCTTCGGCACTTAAGCAAAACAGTGTTGTTTAATAATAAATTTCAGAATTTGCGCCATTTAGGAACAAATTACTACAATTTTAATACGTTTTGGAGACAAAATGGCCTTTTTTATAAATACCTAATAATCTAATTATTACACTTTCTGATTTTAAGGAAAGGCGTAAGTACTGTTAACAATTATTATAAGATAATATAATAATAAATTAATATTATTATAGCTTCTATGTTTTAATTAAAATAAATTTTAATTTTCTTTTGTTTTAACCCTAAACTGTTCAATTGTATTAATTATCAAAAATTTTAATAAATCGTAACCATATGTAATTACAATAAATATTATTATAATAAATAAAAGGAACATGGGCTCTTAGTTTTTGCACACGTTTGTAAATTATTATATTTCCCCCCTAATCCAATATATTGTGTGTAAAATTAAGAACGTTCTTGTTAAACGGATTCCATGTGTGTCTAGTCAAGATATTATTTGACAATTACAACGTTCCGTCCATGTTTGCATGATAACTTTTGATTTTGCGAACAGTAGACGTGCAGAAAGTGTAGTACGGGTATTGGTTGTGTTTATATTGTATATGTGATATATATAAATGGAATTTCAGATATGTATGTATTTATTTACATACATAAAAAGCTGATATAGATAAAATTTCTGAAGAACGTATAACAATCCTTCATCATCATAAATCTAATCATAGTTTTGTTGTGATACATCAAATTGAAAATGTTTTAAATATACTTAAATAATAAACAAAGTTAAGAATATTAAAATTCGATATATTTAAAGAAAAGGCAATATGGAAAAAATGTTGCATAAAAAGTAAATGAAATAATACATACTACGAAATGAAATAAATGTACTAGCTAAGTTTGGTGTCCAATAAATTCTATAAAAAAGTGCATTTCCGAAAAGTTCAGCAATATTTTAACGAATTATGAACAAGGTGTATTATGTACCAGTATGTATTCTTGATTGCTTATTAATAGAAAATGTAATATTTGCAGCAATGATGGAAGTTAGGTGTGATATTAGTTAAATCCATTGTTTGGGGATTCTTATTGCTCGATTTTTTAGCATGAGAATTTTTTTTCATTACTTTAATTTAATAGGAAAGCAACAGCTGATTTTTAATATTTCACATCGGTTTATCTTTAAATGGCTTCGTAAGTTTATATTCGAAGTAAAACAAAACCCAAAGTAATAAATCTAAAAATCTATAAGATCTTGCATTACAACTTAAATTGGTATGCGTTTAATATATTGCACGTCAAATTGTTTAATATCATCTAATTGTTCTGTGGAACTTTTTTGTAAATACTATTGTACAAATATATCCGTTTTTAATTGTGGATGTTGTCAAATCAAAATTAACGAGTTATCAATATTTGGGCTAAGTGTAATCCAAAATTTTGCAATGTGAACATTTTTTAACTTTAACATCGAAAGTTCCTTTTGTGCTTGTGCTTCTAATCTTCTCATCCCTATATTTTATTTATAACAGGCGTATACATATTTAATTATTTTGGTTATACGTTATAAAAGAATTTAAGCAATTTAAGTTCTAAAAGCATAGGGCTTTAATAAAGCTTCTCGACTTAGAGGCTTTGGCCTAATATTAGATTATATAAAAAAAATTAATGTTTTGTTTATATTAATTTGAATAATTTAAAGATCATTTTTGATAAGTACAAAGTGAACATTTTTGTGATTTGTATATAACACTTAAAAAGTCTGAAAAGGTATAGCGCTTTTATTATCACAAAACAATTTTGTTACGAATTTGAAATATCTTAAAATTACTGCATTTAATTAATTTAAATGTTAATATCTTAATAAAATTGTTTGTGTTAAATTTATTTTTGGTTAAGCTATAACTCTCAAAATACAGGAAAAAGTTGAAATTATAGTTATTGTGACACTGTTTATTAAATATTTATTTTTCTTTTTTTTCTGTTTTTTCTGTTTTTTCTGTTTTAAAGCAATATATGTCAAAATTTTCAATCAACACATCTAATCAATGTATCTTATAAACCAAATGTAAGAGCTGTGCATGACTTTTGGTACAGAATATTTATATTAGCAAGTAATAAAGTGCGTTTGATTTTTTTGCAGCATTAGTTTGTGCTTTCTTCAATATTTTTACTTTTTAGTAGTTGCTATGCTGCCATGTTTTAGTGTCGCAATTTCTAAACCTCTGCTATATACTAGCTATGCTATACTTGAGATGTGTACTAAAAATGTTAATCAGTTGTGTTTCGTAGATAGATGTTCTACAAATTATGTGTCCCGGCTATGAGTCAATATTGCAGAAAACAATAATAACGTACAACCAAATGTGTTTTTTTTTTTCAAAATATGTACTTTTATTTTTCTTAATGCAATATTATCTTAACAAGTTTTTATGAAACAATCGAATGAACTGATTTATATATATATATATATATATATATTGCAATAACATAACAACAAATAAAATAAAAAAAATAATATTCAAATTTCAGTGCGACCGACGATATGTGTTATGTTCAATTGGGATTTTCAATTCAATGCATTTAGGTTACTGCCTCCTCATTCTCTCGATAATACTGCAGAGTGTGATAACACAAAGTGCTTACGTTCATGTAATATTGAGAGTGGCTATGCACGAATGAATGAGCCTACTAAGTGTATACCAAAATGAATTTATATGTACTAATAAAAATGTACACAGATATACCTCAGTTTGTACAAAAGTAGATATACATATGTATGTATTTAGATGTACATAATTGTTTTCTTAGGTTTTGAGTATATTAGTTAGTATTAGCGCTTGTTTGGCTGTCTTTTTTGCTTCTGGCCAAATGGTGCCTATTTATAAGTTACTGTGAATTTATAATTTTACAATACTGTGAGACATTTTTAATAATAATCAAATACTAACGATGTACAGGCGTGCATTAAACTATTTATGTTAAAGTACTGATCTGAAATAAGAAGTAATGTGCGGTCAAATATATACATGAATATATTGTCTTATGTAATATGTTTGTAAATATGGTTTTACAAATTTTACAAATATAATTTTCCTTGATATTAAGAAATTTCGCTTCTTTTTCGCTTGTTATATATTCTCTCCAATCACATAATATATGTTTGAATAAGTAAGTGCTTGTATGTTTGTATTAATTTGTACATTTCTTCAGAATTATTTCGCAGGTGTTTACTATTACGTATACATTCGATTTTGCAAAAAGCATAAAGTTATAATTTTGTAAAATAAGTTAACAGAGTGTACTATTCCTACACTTTCTTCACACTTCAGTCTATTACACTACATTTGTTATAACTTCACACTCCTGAGGATATTTCCTTCTGACTTACAATGCTCTAATGTGCCTAAACTTCAAAGTAAAAACTAGATCCTTATTAATAACAAACCAATATATTAAGGAGTAAGCTTCCTGCTTTCAGTTATAAAATATGTGAAATTAATTTTCCGAGTTTCATTTAAGAAATGTTTCGCACTAAAAGTATGTTCTGTACCATTTCACACAAAAATCTAATTTTTTTATTATTTGTAGTATAATCCCAGAATCAACAATACCCACAAAAATATATTATTATTAAAGTGAAATTCAAAAAGTAGGTATGAAACAACTATTGTAGCTAATGATATTAAAAAATTGTTTGGTTCTATGTTTGAAGAATAAATTAACACAAAATTAAGAGTTAACTTTGTTCTGGGTTACCAGTAAACCAGAGTACTATAAGTACAACATAGTGTCTCGTCTATTCCGAAATATTATCACAAAGTTGTTCCTGAGATCCAATTTTATATAAGAAACCTGTTCGTAGACGAACTTTTTTCAATAAGTTTTCGATTTATATAATTTAAGTGCAGATCTATTTGTTATGAGATCACCCGCAGTGTCATTGAAATCGATTTAACTTACTAAAGAACTACATCATTTTTATCGTATGTTTTGGCAGTCTGCAAGAGGCCAGATGAACATTTTCAGGAAAATAATGCCTCGTATACCTAAAGTACATAATTTTAACTGGATCTTTGTCAGTAGTGCTTCTGTCTTTCATGAAAAAGCAGATAGAAAAAACCTGTACCGATATCTCTAATGAGGAAGCTGATTATACAAGCAAATGTTTTGAAGTCACTACGGTCTGTTAGCATCTCAGTTTTGGCGATTCACATATTTAATAACACATAAGGTTAATCGTATTAACCAATTTCTGTGTTCAGAAATTGTTGCAGATATTGCAACATATAGTGTTTCCAAATTACCCATAGCATATATTACCCGTTTTTGCACTATATTAGTCGCACTAAATGTCACAAAGCGGGTTAACACAGTCTCCAATACAGATTTCTTAACAACTTGCCTTAAATTTTTTTCCCTGACTATTAAATGATGCCATTGTCAATTTCTTATTAGGGGAACATCTTTTTTTCATTTTAGGGGTACGAAGTACAGAGGGACTCAGAGTCATAATGTATGCTGATGATTATACAATTCTTGCAAAAGGACAGAACTCCACCACATAGCGTAATGAAGTTAAAGTGATCGTTCCTAAACTGACTGATTACTAGAAAATAGAAAATTTAACTTATATAAATCATCAATTGCGATCTTTTCTTCCTGGAAAGACGCGTGATTGTGATTTACCAATTAACATCGTCAGGATTTTCTCTTATCACTATGAGACGGTAGAATTATTTTCTCCGCAAATATCATTGTACGCTGAAAATGCTGGATAAAGAAATCTAGTTATGTCAAAACAATGCGTATATTTCCTGTTAAGAGATGGTAGCGTTTATTTTTGGAGATTTCTACTATTTTATCCCTGCCATAAAGACCACTACAACAGCACCCTTGTCTGTGAGTAACCCATTCATTTACCTAGTTATCATGTACTGGTTTATCTTGTAAGTCTTTGTTAAAACTTCCAACCCATTTCTGTGACTTAATTTCAGTTTTGAAGCAATTTGAGGACGCATTGAGAATTTACGATATGATATGGTTTCGTAATAATTTCAAACTTCTTGTGATTTTGACAATTGTACTAGCTGATATTGTATGCAGCATATGACACCCCAAAAATTTTCTGTTTTTCTTTTATAATGTTATTTTGACAAAAACAAAATGTTTTTAGATATTTGAACTTTTATTATTATTATTTTATTCGATACTCCATTAGGAGCTAAGGTTACAGCAAATTAGTTTCAATTCCTATTCCATATTAGCGCTGCGTGCGAGTTATCGTCATAAGGCCTACGTAAGGTATGACCTATCCATCCATAGTTTCACTTTTGAATTTTAATATTAATAGACGTTCGGTTAGTTTGCCTCCTGAGTTCTTCATTTGATATCGTTCTTGGCAACTATATCTTCATTATGTTTCGCAATCAGCGGTTGATGAAAGTTTGTAGTGTCTTTTTAGTCTCCTCGTTACAAGCCGTATAATAAGACAGACTTAACGCAAGTATTAAAAATTTTTGTGTTTTTGGGGATGTTGTGTGCATGCCATATATTGCGTACCCTTGCGGAAGTGCCTTTTGCTTTTTGTATTCGATTGCTTATGTCCTGTTTTGCGCCTTTGTCTATGGGGAGAATACTTCCGAAGTAAGTAAAGCTCTCCACATCATTCACATCTTCGCTGGCAATTGTAAAGCAAGCTGATTTATTGAATTTTATGCGCATAGATTCAGTTTATCTTATATTTATTTTGAGACCTATTTTCGATACCTCAATTTTGCGTGTTAAATATTTTCAGTACTCAGTCCAATTCTACAATATATAGCAATGGCGATCGGATGCAGCCTTTTTTAACACCAGTGAAGGAGTCACTTAACTTTACGTTATATAGCACTCTGCATTTTGTTTGTGCGTAGCTTTTTCTTATAATGCTAATAATTTTTTATGACACTCCCATCCTTGAGGCCAACTATATTCAGTTTCTGTTGATATAATCAAAAGGTTTCTCGTAGTTGATGAATATTGCATATAAAGTGCTGTTGAATTCGATGCTTTGCACAATAATAACTCGCATTTTATTTATGTTGTCAAATCATGAGCGATTTGACCGAAAACCCGATTGTTGTTTACGAAGTTGTGCGTTGATTGAATCTATAATGCGATTTAGTATTACTTTGTTAAAACCTTTCCTCACAGCTGCAACTGGTGCTATTCCTCTCCAGTTGTTGCAGTCAGGGAGGTTACCCTTTTTTGGTGTTTTTACTATTATCGATTCTTTCTACATTGAAGGGATTTCTTCATTGTTCCAAATATCTCTACATAGAGGATATAGCATATCAGTTGTGCAATCTATATCGGCTTTCAAAAACTCAGCTGGAATATTGTCGACGCCAGCAGATTTACCATTTTTTAATGAACGCATCGCTGATGCAATTTCTTGTTTAATTGGAGGTTCATTACATGTATTGCGGAATGGTCGCCTTGGTTGACCAATTTGCGGCATGTTGTTATTAGTTATTAACATAGTCTTGGACGCGCCACATCTTAAATTGTTCCTCCTCCGTAGTTATAGAGTTTCCATTGCTTTCTTTTAAAGACCTCCATAGTTATAGAGTTTTCATTGCTATTTTTTAAAGGCATAGTTCGATTGTTGTTGTCGCTAGATAGCTTTCTGGTGTTATTAAATACTAGATCGTAGATCGCCTTTAGATGCTGCTATTTCCGCTTTGAACTTGTAAATGGCACTATTGTAGTTTTTGCTGAATTTATATTCAATCTTACCTTCACACACCACGTTTCCGTTAGTTCTTGACCGAATCAGATTCTGTCAAATTGAGTATCTTGGAAATTGAAACCACTTTATATTCATTGAAAAGTTCTACGTGACTTTCCCCGAACTTCCACGACAACCAATTACTTAAACTAGGACCTTTTCTGAAAATCATTATTTTAAATTTGTATAGATTCGCGATAAGACCCCATAGTAAACAAACCTTTCCAGATCATCTATCATAACTTGCAATACAACAGGTCAGTCCGCAAGTAGAACCACATCATCAGCATACAAAAAACTTATATGAGTTAAGTTGGTAGGTACTTCACCCGTTAAAAAGTCATGCAGATCATTTAAGTATAGAGAAAACAAAATCGGGCTGAGCATCCCTGTTTTACACCTTGACTGATTCTAAACGAAGAACACATAAGATGCGACTGCTGGGTATAATTTTAGTAGTGTGGTCAAAAACTTTCAAGACAAATCTAAAGTGGCTGATTTGAAAAATAAGGCATTCCTAGGAAAAGTGTCAAATGCACATGAGAAATCGACAAAAAAGGCATAAGTTTTCTTATTGTTAATTGAATTAAGGTGTATTATAGAAGTCAAATTGAAAATGTTATCAACAGTTGAGTAGAATGTTAAATATGTTAAATTTAATGTGTTAAAAATTCATAATGGATTCTACTAATGCGACATGTAGTCTAATAAAGTTATCTAACATACTACCTTTTATAGATTTTTTCATATATGGGATGGTGTCGAGGAGTTTATATAAAGAGCGCTCTTCTTAGCCACATTCGTTATTCAACTTCTGAATTAATTCGTTTGTTGTGATTTCTGATTCACTAGATAATTGATCTCCTTTAGGAGAATGTTACTAAATAATAAACAAACGAAAATAAAATTTTAAAATAAAACCGGTGTATGAGCGTAACTATTTTAAACAAAGCAAATTGACTTTAACCAGTCAGCCCTTTTAACAAACAATTGGAATAATTGCTAAAATTTTTGTTTATCATCGGTTTGATAGGGAGTGAAAAATAGTAAACTAATTAAATACGACTATTAGTCGTAAGCTCAGTTAATATAAGTAAAAGTTTACAAGGTAGTATGTATATGTAATGTAGGTGGGTTGTGTACACCTACAAGCACCGCAGATATAATACGTTTTATAGCAGCATATCTGAAGCATAAATGCTTGGTCATCTGCACGTAGTTTATTTATATTACTGATTAAACTTGGTTGTCACAGATACTTACAGGCAATTCTGGCAAAAAAAGTTGAAGGTCTGTTAAAAGATATAACGAAAGAGAGTTTCAAAGGTTTTTGCTTTTCTTGCATTCTTCCAGAAAAAGTTTTATTATTTATAATTCAAATTAAAAAGCTGTTTTCCGCTATAGTATGTTTTCCGTTGTATTGCATAACTGGGGCATATGCATTATAATGCGAGTATTTAGTATACCAAATTTCAACTTCTTATCTAAATGTGAGGGGTTCCGGTAGGTCAATTAGGCTCAAATTAGATTCAAAAAGGCCATCTCAGAAATAAAGTTTTAGGAAAATTTCATCCCAATATCTCTATTGGTATGAAATTATATTGGTATGAAAATATAAAATTTTGATCGGGTAGTTTTTTTTTGTTGGCACACTATACGTCGTTTGCGCAAAATATGATTTTTTAGATATTTTATTTTATTTAAAGAAAATGGTAGGACAAAAAAAACAAACAAAATGTCAGCTATCAGCTTTATTCTGTCTTTTGAAAGACAGAAAAGATGTAGGAAGAATACGAAACAACTTTTAAAAGATTTTAAAAAGTTAGTTGCTAGATAGTTGCTAGAATAACCCTTTTAGTTGTTTCTAGCTATCAAATGAGGTTTTTCATACATTATATTTATTTCCATATTAAAATGAATTATTTGAAGTAACTGAAACCCAAAACAAAATCCTAATCATTGAACGAGTGGGTGGGTAATCCCAGATAATTCAAGACTAAAATATAGTTATATCTCTCTGAAAGAAACTGCTTTTGAGTGAATGTCACTTGTATACGCTTTATGAATTTATATATATGTTTTAAATATTTTCCTAAGTTTTAAGGATATATTTCATTTTCTTTTGTCGCAATTTAGTTTTATTTTGCATTTTTTATGCAACGATTAAAAATTGAACTATCTCAATGAAATTGCATTCTTATCTAGAAAATATCATTTTTTCATAATCAAAATAATTATAAGCAAGTTTTAAATAAGAATTTTTAAACTTAGTTTCTTCGACAATTCTGATTTTTTCATTTTTTATCATCATTATCAAGCGTTACAGTTCGAGGTGAGCTTTACCGGCATCAATTAGCTTCCTCCATTCTGCTTTGCATGTTGTTTTAGACCTTCAGTTTTGGATACCTATTTTTGGATGTCGTCGATTACGTTATCGAGCCATCTAATAAGTTGTCTACCTCTGCTGCAGTCATTGTACGGAGTGAAATGGAGTATTCGCTTCTGTGGTCTATTTTCTGGTATTGTCATGACGTGCCCGATCTATCTCCAGCGCTACGACTTTGCAAACTTTACAGCATTTTCTCCGACAATTCTGATTTTTTTACTTACCTATGCTTATTTTAAATAATTTACAGTTTAGTTAACATATTTACTAAAGAAAGTGAAGTTTGCATTACAACAACAAAAAATATATTTTAATTAATTGAATGTATGGCCGATTATTTGTTAAATAAATATTGACTTCTTAAATTTTTTCTAGAATTTTTTCGATTCATGGCGTTAGTATGCTATTTAAACAATTTGCTAAAGACCGAATATGAATTTGTCTCTTTGAAGTAATAAATTCTTCAGCTTTCAAGCAAAATATTTCCGATATCATAATGGAATTAAGTTAAATAAATACTAATTCTTAGTCTTTGTTTAAGCATTCCTAAATTTTTAAATTATTTTTTTTTGTACATATAATCATTATTAATATTTAAAAACTTGGTATGAATTTTTTTTTAATTATAATTTTTGTTGCAGGTTACCACAGTTCATCTTATAAAAATGGTTCCTCTGCACCTTACGTTAATATAATCTCTAACAAAGCAACGAAGCAATGATATGTTAAAGTAATTTTCAATAAAATATATTTTTAACTGAATATAAAAAAGATAAAATCCTTAAAAAACATACTTTATCAATAATATGAACATAATGGTGTTGAACTTTAAAAAAGAAAATAACAATTTTAGCATTACGGTATACAAAATAAAATTGAATTAACAAAGTGTAAATCTGTGGAACATATATAATATGCAAGTTGCAACATTATTTAGAGAAGAAGCTACACTTGACAATATTTATACCACTTCTATAACCGAACCAGAACAGTTCTTAACTGTTAGCGCAGATGTAACGCCAAACCAAGTATCACTATTATCAATAAAAAGTATGAGTGGCGATGGTATTGACATTAAAAATCCAACTTCTTCGGAGTTATCTACGAATCCTGATATAGATATCGGTAGTAATATTAAAACAAATATTGTGGTAATGTCGGATAAAGCAGTAAATAGTCCTGATGATCGAAAACGTAAAAGTAATTTCAGTGAAAATGAAGATTTATTTACAAATGCTAAAATGATTAAGCAAAAACAACATCAGTCAAATATTACCGCAGATCATGAAAAGGTAATTTTCTTTATAATTTAAGTTAAAGTCTCTAAACTCTTTTTTCTGCACTATCCAAAGCCGTGCAACATTCACAACATTACTAATTATATCCAAATTAATCAGTTAATTAATCAGATTTTGGCTACGTTTCCCTTTGTGACCGTTATTAACCCGAATCTACTGTTGTGAAGTCTATAAACAAAATTTAACTATAAAACTGAAACAAGTTTATTCACGTACTATGACACCTATGATACCTATAATCTTTCCAAATAATCAGCTGATTTCAGTTATCTTTCTAAATAATCAGCTGATTTCAGTTAATATAACATGTATTTCAATATTAATAGTCTATTTAATAATATTAATAGACTTTTAACGTAAATAAGTATATTTTTATTTTCATTTACTTTACATTTGCTTCTTATGAATATTTAAACTTAACTAAATTATATTTTGTTAAAAGTAGTCTCTTAGTTTTGTTTTTCCCAAAATTCAAAATAAAATTTTTAGTTGATGTATTCATTTTTTTTGAGACTTCCAGAGTGCTATATATAATTTTTTAATAGATTGCATCAATATTTGTATTGTATATAATTCCGAGTTCTAATTTTACTTATCACTGTTTCAGAAAACATCCAACGAAAAAGAATCTTTTGAACATGGTCCTTTAATTCAAAATATAGAATTGGAGGCAACTAATTCATCAAATAATGAATTTAACTGTAATTTGAAAACAAAAACATATACTAAGGATAAAACCATACCATCATATGAAACAAATGAGAAACATAATACTGATGATAAAAAAAAAGGTGTTGATAATAGACCAAATGTTGATCCTTCAAACTCAAACAACGAGATTCCGTATACAATTAATACCTCAGGTGATACTGTTTTAACTCCTGATAAGTATTTGCCGGATAATGAATACATGTATACCGATTTAATCAAAACTCACTCAATGCATACTACAGGTAACAAAGTTCCTTTATTATTTGTGGATACTACAACTCAAAGTACCTACAACGAAAATTCAGTAGTTGGTGCAACTAAAGAAGATAGTAATACTACAATGGACAAAAAATCGGAGTCTGAAATTGTCAACAATTTGGAATATTGCCAGGTTAAAAATGTTCCTCAAGAACAAAAAAAAATCGCAGCAGAGGCATCATTTTATAGTAATAACAATACTAGTAATACTAATAGCAAACAGAATAGTAATGATAATGACAGTGTCCATAATATTACTACAAAATATACGAGTAGTTATGATATTAGAAATTTGGTTGAATCTAGTAATATTCAACCTAAAAATAAAAATACTATAAATAACTGTTTGAATGAAAATTCTACTGATTTGGATGACAATAAAGATGGTGCGAAAAATGAATCTACAAGAACTGAGTTCTTTTTGTATACTAATTCTCATGGTTGTGTAAAAAACCATAACATAAACAATTCATATAATTTAAAAAAAGAACATGATACTGACAATATTAAAATTAACCATGAAAACATTAACAATTCAGACAATAATGTTTTGTTAACAGAATTGGTAAAATCAACAGAAAAAAACCCAAACACAAATTCAATAACATTTCACTCAGACAAAGAATTATTTATAAATAATTATGGGTGTATTAAAGATGATGAATACTTAAAAAATAATCGTTGGTCTAGCAATGCGATAAATTATCATAAAAGGCTAAATCAAAACAATCAAAACCTTATTGAAGAAACCAATATAAATCAAAAAAAATATTTTACAGAAGAAGAAAAAAGTAAACCGCATAATGAAAGTTTAGCTAATTCACCTAATTTGCATTCATATCAAGTGTCGGAAAATATTCAAGAACTTAGGTTAGATTCCGATTCAAGCATTGTTACGCAAAGCAATGAGAAAAATGAGAATGGTAATTTTAAAGTTGAGGATTCAAGTACATTGCATAATATCAGAAATGAAAGATTATATAGTCAAATCGAATTACAACAATATAATCAACAGAACCATCATATTGTTCATCCAAATCATAACAGAAATAACTTACAATTACAACACCAAAATGATTTAGAAAATTTTGACCAATCAGAGTTATACCACCAACATCAACGGGAAAATGCACAAGTCATTTTCAGTCCGCAACCAATTTCTTTGCATCATCAAATGCAATCCCAAATAGAACAACTTCGACATAATACAGAACAGAATTCGCAAAATGATCAACGTGATCAAATACAAATGGCTAATAGTCATTCTAATCTTATGTCCTATTTACAACATGACGAATTAAATAATAATCTAAGAGTACAGTCGCAACATCAGCAATTACATGAACATTATCAACAGAATCACCACCAACAGCAAAACATTTATCTTCAAGAACATGGACAATCTAACTTATTAATGACATCACTCCAACAACAAGGTATTGAACATAATTTGCTTACGTCTAAGCAAAAAAATACTTTAGCAACTATGGATGATTTAATCTTGGATGAGTTTCACGATGAACGCAATGCCCCATATAAGCTGTAAGTTTTTTATTTTTTATTAATTGTTTAGTGCTCTATCTGAGAAGTATTCATAACGAAATTAGATGAAAATATCATTTCAATTATTTATTTTATATCCTTAGCAACATTTTTTTTTTATTAAGTTTGTTAGAAAACGAACAGGAAGATAAACGGATTACATAAGAACCACTTTGGGTGAAATGGGATAGTGAAAGTGGGTATATAAAATATGCGAAATAAAAGAGTTGAGAAGCGTTTGAGAGAAAGTGGTATATTGAACTAGCCTGCAAACTACAAGTACATTGCTGTATTGAATTAGTCTCTAAAGTATAAATACATTGCTATATCTAGCTATAATTGGGGCACATATTGCGGTTGAAGGGTTTATACATAAGAAGTAACTATTTAGCACGTGATTATATCCTATTTAGTTATTGTGTCTCGAAGTTGTCTTTTGTGATTAGAGGAATTAGATACATGCCTTTTGAAATCCTTGATACAGTACAAGTTTTGCAGTATTGGTCATTACTATTGTGTAGGCAGTAGTTAATTATGTTGCTATGCGACCATAAAATTGCTTTTTTTCAGATAATTTATCCAATAATTTATCATAGCTGAATTATTTATAGTTGTTTTTTTTATAATTGTTTTCTATACAAATCCAGTATGATGCGCAGAAAACGAAACATTTAATGGATCTACTAATATAAATTATAAACGAACATTTGTAACCTTACTATTCTTTACATATTCTGAACATTCTTATAGAGGGTATTTTTTTCTAACGTTAACTGCTGTTTTTAGCATTTTTTTGACATTATACATAATAAATCTTTGAGTCTGTTTTCTTTTGATCAGAAATTATCCTAAATGAAGTTCCTAACCACGACGCCGATGTTGTTATTGGCTACAAATACGCAAAATCTTTGTAAGAGGGTGGAGAAAAATCATATTGGTGATACGTTGTGACTGACTCCATCTGACTGGTGGTGGTTAAGGATAAATTAAAATGTTTATCAAACGCCTAATTATAGATATAGACGTTAATTATAGCAACTATAAGGTGTTTTTTTTAGTTGCATGAGAACCTGAGAATGTCAAACTGTGTTAACATTTCTGTTCAATAAGATTTGGCAATTCATCATGAATCCAAATTGTGGAAATTTACTTTGAAAAAAATTAATCTGTTCGCGAAGTTCGTAAACCACTTCGTTGAAGAATTGTGTTTAGAGATAAAGCTTATTTCTGGTTGAATGGCTACGTCAATAAGCAAAATAGCCAAATCGCCGTTACATCCATTAAAATTGAGTGTTTAGTCCTTATTTCGTCGGTCCTTATTGCTTTCGAAGGAGTTGCCGTTAGAGTAAGTCGAGCACTATCGATCCATGTTAACTGAATTTTTGTTTCCAAAAATGAATCAGATAAGCATCGACGACGTTTGGTTCTAACAAGAAGGTGCAATTTGCCATAAACCACGCTTTACAGAAGTGGTTCTGTTAACTGGCCTCTATCGATAACTTTTTATGGGGTTAAGTTAAGTCATTGGTTTATGCCGACAAACCAGCAACTCTTGTAGTATTGGAAACAAATTTTGATGACATCATTGACGTCATACGATCACATTTTTTGCAAAAAATAGTCAAAAATTGAAGTGATCGAATGGATCATATAACTCGTAGCCGCGGCGGACATATCCCGGAAATCATATTCAAAAAATAAATGTCATGAAATTATCTATCCATCTATTTTAAGTCCTCGGCAGCTGAAAAAACACCCTATAGTATATATATACTAACAAGGAATTTTATTTAAATCAATTTATTTCAAGAAGGTATGAAAGCGTTGTAACATGAGGTTTTGTACTGTTGTACTTTATAAATCTTGAATTTGAGCAGTCCTTTGCAAAAAAGCAGAAACTTCAGAGTTGACGTAATGTCTTAATCGCACATTAACGTGCCCTTTCCAACGCTGCTGTGCATTCAGTGTAATACCAGGGTATTTTATTTCATTAGCATGTGGAACTAACCATTTATATGGTATAAACTATATTATAAGTTGTTTTTGTAATGCGAAAACTGGATTTATGGATTTGGTGTTGTTAAGGTTTATACGCCAATTAGTGGTCCATGTTACCATAGCACTTACATGTAATGTAGCCGTTGCGTTTTCAATTGTTTCGTCGACTGCTAAAAGAGCAGTATCATTAGCAACACAGTCCTATAAGTATACTAGCAGCGACGACGTAGTCGATTACAGATTGTGTCATAAGAGCCATAACAACAACGACGAGTTACTAGTCAATATTAATACCTGCTTCGTTATGTTTGTAAGCAAAATAGTTGCATCAATATTGACATATAAATATATATAGAATTCAATTTAGTATTACAAATCATTGATTGTTAAATCATATTTGTCGTTACAGTATTGTTTGGTACACTTATTTTTTCTATGGAAAAAAAATTTTATCTAATGTACTTGTAAAACTAAAAAGACAACAGCGTATATAAATATTTCTATAAAATAACACAGTTATCTTGTGTGAGGATGAATCACTTATCCAATTGTTCGTCTTCTTTGTTGCATTAACTAATAATAGAGCATAGCGGCTCAACAATTCCTCTAAATGGTATCCTGTTTGTAGCTGCCGTGCAGATTTCGTTCCATGAGTAGCGCACTGATCTTAGTTCGGCATCGATTGTCCTTCGCCATGTTCTTGAAAGAGTGTCAAGCCGACGACTGCCTTGCGGGTTCCACATTAGGGCTTAGGTATTTTTTTTTTTTTTTTTTTTTTTTTTTTCTTTTGCGGCGAGGAGGAGTGGAATGCCTACGCACTGACCACAATCCGGCGGCCCGGAAAGTGAGTGTCCGACTTGCACGGACTAAACCAACTCCCCCTCATTCCTAGAGACCTTGTCCTACCCCGGGACTGCGTTAGTATTACTTCAAGGTAGGGTCTCTATTAGTCATCTAAGACTTCCATCGGTGTGACCTGCGTCCAGGCCCCGCATCTGCTGCAGGTGATTAACCTTATCCTTCGTCTTTGTGTGATTCATCTGTTTTACTCCAGCTGTCTTCTGTCAAGGTCTACTTTTTTCAATCTCAGGATCTTTTCAGCAAACATTTTTACGCGATCCCAGTTTGTTATGTTTTCGATCATTTTTCCCGTTACCGTCCTGGGAGTGAAGGTACCAACTTGCATTGCAAGTGCTTCTCGTTCGGGCAGCCACTTATTGCACTCAAAGAAAGTGTGTTCTGCGGTATCATCCTCCGCTCCGCAATATATGCAATTTGGTGACTACTTTGCGCATGCGATAGAGATAGCTGTTAAAGTATCCATGTCCCGACAGAAACTGAGTGAGGTAGTAGTTAACCTCGCCAAAGTCTCTTGCTAGCCAGGTTTTTAGATCTGGGATAAGCCTTGCAGTCCATCGTCCACGGTTATCTGAGTCCCAGCGTTGCTGCCATACTGCAATGGTTCTGCGTCTTACCAACTGCTTGTCGGTGTTGTTGTTTCCCATTCGTTTTGTCTGCCAACATGTTTTTCGCTCTTGAGCCTGTAGGTCAATAGGAATATTTCCATTAATCACGAGTACCGCTGCTTCTGAAACGGTGCGATACGCTGAGCATATCCTCAGAGCTGCTGTTCGCTGCACTGACGCTAACGCTCTTCTTCGGTATTTTGCTTGTAGTGCGTCTGCCCATATTTCGCTTCCGTATAGAAGAATGGAATTTACCGTAGCCATGAGGAGCTGTCTTTTACTCTGTGTGGGTCCCCTTATGTTTGCCATAAGTCTGCTCAATGCTGCTGTAGCTTTGCCCGCTTTAGATGCCGCTTCCTCAATCTGAGCCCAGAATGTTAGTCTGGAGTCCAGTCGAAGGCCTAAATATTTGACTGTTTTTTGCGACATTAAAGTTTTGTCGCATACTCGCATTTCGACTTCTAGCTGTATATGCTTTCTTGTGAGAAAGATCAACTCTGTTTTCTCCGCGGCGAGTTTGAGTCCGTGATCCTCTAACCATTCCTGTGTTCGTATCATTACCATGGTTAGCTTTCGTTGCGCTTCTTCTATATTTCTTGCCTTTATCACTGCTGCAACATCATCTGCAAATGCCACCAGATGTGTATCATCCGGCATTTCCAGCTCTAAGATACCATTGTAATTATCATTCCACAGCTCAGGTCCGAGAACTGATCCTTGCGCTGCTCCTGATGTGATTTGTTTTTCTTTTGGTCCATCGTGAGTGTCGTAGACTAGCACGCGATTTTTCAAATAACTAGCTATTATATCCATCAGGTAGCGTGGTAGTCTAAACTTGTTTTCCAGTGTATTGAGAATATCAGCCCATCTTACACTATTGAACGCGTTTCGTACGTCAAGTGTTGCAAGCAAAACAATGTTTCTCGAATAGTGGTTACCAGTCTGTGCAGTCTTTACTGCCGTAACTATATCTTCTATTGCACCTAGCGTGCAGCGTCCTGTCCTGAAACCGTGCTGTCTCGGTGACAAGCCACCTGCTGATTCGATTGCTGTTGTAAGTCGAGGCTTGATCAGTCTTTCAAGGAGTTTTCCAGCGGTGTCGAGCATGCAGAGTGGTCGGTATGCTTCAGCCCGTTCTGGGTCGCCTCTACCCTTACTAATTAATGTTAGTTTCTGTTTCTTCCAAATTTCCGGAAAGTTGCCTTCCATTAAACAAGCATTGTACATTTCTAGTAGTACATGTGGTCGTTCGTTAGCAATCACTTTTAGTATCTCAGCCGGTATTCCATCTGGCCCCGGAGCTTTATTATTTTTTAGCGCGCTAGCAACTGCAAAAAGCTCTTGTAGAGTAAATAGTGGCGGCATTTCTCTCAGGAGATCATCTGATCTGCTTGGGAGCACCTCATGTGTCGGGAATAATGTGTCAACTATTTCCTTCATTTTTTCGCTTCCTAGTGACGGGGTTGGTTGTCTGGCGCCCAGCTTTTTAGTTACAATCTTGTATCCGGTGCCCCATGGATTGTTGTTTATATCTTCTCTTAGTTCTTCCCACTTCGCCTTTTTGCTTTGTTTTATGGCTTCTTTCAAATTTTTCTTAGCTATTTAGGGCTTAGGTATTAGGGATTGGGTATATCCAATCCATTGACATTTTCGTTTTTTTTTTATTTCACTCACTACGCTTTGTAGTTAGCCTTTTTCTATAATTCCGCGTTAGAGATGCGTTTTGTCCATTATATTTTGAAGATGTGTCTTAGACATTTGTTTATGAAAACTTGTATTCGTGAATTGATGGATCTAGTAAACCTTCATGTTTCGCACCCATACAGAAGTACGAATCTGGTGGTAGCAATATAACAAAATACTTACCTATATTTTTTTGTTTGCACTACGGATTGTCAAAAAGCTGTTAGGCAAGATTTTTGAGGAACTTTCTTCGTTAATCCTTTGTTTTAAACCTTGATTGATGCTCGCTGTAGATATATAAGATGGCAATCCACTGTTACCAATCATGTTGTAGACCAATCCACTATTACCAATCATTGCCAGAGACCAACGCAACATTCGTCGTTTTACTGTGTATTCACTCAATATTTTGTCCAACCGGTGACACCACCTTTGGTTTTATTATAGAATTTAATTATCTCTTTCCTGGCGCTCTGCGAATTATTTTCAATTTCTCCTTTCGTGTGCAAGGTTGATAGAATCACAACTCATTTGTTTTTTTTTTTTTTTGCACATTGAACAGATTGTTGTGCTGAATTCACATGCCTTGCTGTTGACAGCTGCATGTTGTTTGACAGATAGTTTTTATATTATCTGATTGTTCCAACGAGTGCATTGCTCCAGAATTGAAATATCTTACCTAGCTCTAAAAATGTAAAAAAGTTGTCGGTAACGACATTTCCTCCAGATCCTTTCAACAAGCGAATTAAGTCTAGCACAGTTCATTCACCAATGCTTACTTGTCTAGGAAAGCACAAAAAATTTTAGTACCATTTTTAACTGGCTTAAATTTACACAAAATAGGGTACATTTTAGTACGGCGTTTGAACGGAAAAATTTGTTCATCGACAGTGATGCAGTTATATGGTTTATAAGCTTTTCCAAATTTCTGTTTAACATTGTCCAGATGTCTCGAATCTGTTCTCATACGATCTGCACGTGTATTTTCATCAAATAAATCTTAGTATCATCTTGAAGCAGTTGTGAGACATTGTTGCTCGTATAAGAAGCAACAGCGGCTACATTAGTTATTTACATTGCATTATTACATTATTTGTTTATAAAGTTTAATTAGTTTTGCCGAAAAAGCTACGCTTTTATATAATGACAAAAAGTTTTTTTAAATAGCTCGAAAACCTCTAAATTAGTTATTTATCATAAAAAAATTGGATAGGGGAAGGTGTTTCATACTTTATATATAAAGACACAATTGTACCTCTGTCGCCTCTAAAGGTTGTAAAGATTCCCAGTCCGACTAGGGTTAAATTGCTATTGTCATTTCTATAAAATATACATGGTATATTTGTTTTGAGTTAGTTCATGTATTTTTCAATATTCTGTTTTTTCGATTTCATATTTTTCTATACATATCGTGTATTCATGTTTTTTGTTACGATATATAGGTTTTCATGTATTTAAAATAATTATATGTTGCACTTTTCGAGATCCTTGTAGTGGTGTATTTAATAAATAGTATTACCTAGTATCTGAAATTTGATTTGTTGATATTGCTGTGATAGGTTGATTATAAATTTAGTCTTAATGGTCTCAATACTGATGCGGCTATTGCTTTTACTTGTGTGCGTTAACAAAATTATCCGGTGAAGTTTTTTTCTATAATCCCTAATATGTCGTCACAAGTTACCATATTTCTGTTTTAATAAAAGATGTTTATTGACTGAAATTAAATTACACAAAAAAATAGTAACAGTAGTTGTATTTAAAGGAGGGGTTACCAAGTAATTAAACTGAACATTACATTTTTAATAACTTCTATTACAATTATGTGAAATTTATTTTGTGTGTTTGAATTTCTATGAAATAAACATTCAATTATGTAAAAGTTTCTTTAAATTTCATTGACGTCTTTTACAGACTGTGATAATTTCTAGTTAAATTTTAAAGCCATGGATTAAGAATAAATAAATATTAAATAACGTACCTGTCTATAATTTTTTCAATAAAAAACGTAGATAATTAAATTTATAATAATTTTTGTTTAAATGTCAAGGGGTCTATCACCTACTACTACAAAACAAGAGAATCAGGATGACGGTTACGAAACTAGCGCAGGGGACGTTTTAACACCCAACAGTTCATCAACGCATTCAGTAACACCGCTACACCAGATTCAACACACAGGTGGTTTAATTCAACCAAAATGCGACGAACGATCACAGCAAATGAATATGTTAAATACTGGTCAAAAACAATTAAATATGCAAATGAATAAAAATCATAGCATTGATATTTCTGCCAATATTACAAAACTTAGTGATGCACATAGTGATCCATTTAGTTTTATGACAGATACGCTTGTTGCTGGAAATGAAATTCGAATTATGACCCCTAATTCTACAACTGCAAGCCACGAGTCTCGTAGTAATTATTTAAATATGAATGACAGGCAGAATGAGAATTTATTTGCTCTACAATCACGTTCTCAACAGCATGAAATGATTAATGACCCAGCTCCCCTACATGTTGACCAACATCAAGAATACCATCAGCAACTAAATTTTATTGATAATAATGATACAGTAAAACAACAAAAACGACGTGGGCGAAAAAAAAAGAATTTAGATGTAGATGGTCTGCCTTTGAATTCCATACCAAAGTAAGTTAACTAATGAACATTTTTTTATATTTTATAATAATTTTTAAGTAGTTTATTTAATAGTGTAAAGCCTGGCATTTTGAGTTCAGCTGACGATCCAGAAAATAATAATGGAGCTTTACTTAAAACCAAAGAACGCAAAAAGCATGACCGTTTTAATGGAATGTCGGAAGAAGATGTTATAAAACGAACTTTACCTGATCATTTGTGTGACAATCTTGATATAGTTATAGTGAGTGTAAATTTCTTTTATATAAATTTTATATGCAGAATATATCATATCAATGCATCATAAATATGAAGGCAAATCCTTCGTTTAAAAAAATAAAACCGTAAGCCAAGGGGGTTGCTGCAGTTGATAAATTTTCATTTCTCAATATTGGCGTGTACAGGATGTAATATTCTAAATCTTAATTTGTTCAGAAAACTCCATTACAAAATGTTAGTATAATTTAATTTTTATCTGCTTTACATACATATATCAAGATTACGAGTGCCGCGCATGAACAATATCGATAAATAAAGGAGAATATAGTCACTTTTTCAGATAGAAGAAACGATATTAAGAAGAAGAAATCGATGTGTGTACAACAAACAAGAACGGCAAGTTACAAACTTATTTAAGACAGCAGGCTATGTGCCGATAGGGAGCATGCATCAGCTCACAGGTAGAATGTGGGTAGACGAAAGCATGTCCGCTGATTAGGAGCACAGTACTTCTTGGCCTATTCTGAAAAAAGATGACCCAACGATCTGTATAGATGGTCTTAGGGTGAATGAGGATAAAACGAAGTGTATGTCGTCTATTGGATGAAATGTGCTCTAGTGAAAAAGATTTTTGCAAGGGCCGATAAAGAAAAAGGATGTGGGGCAAAACTGTGTCTCTTGTATAGTATCAAGTTGAGGCAACACTAACCACACTGGAAGAAGCACGTATGCCGGTGACTGGTTTATACTATAATGTCCAAATAAGTAAACCAACACATTAAAAATAGGCTTTTGGTATTAATAGTTTTCTGTTTTGACCATGTCATATTCTTAAACCTGTTATTCCATTTCTTTCACAATTAAGTTTCCTTTTTATAAGAATTTCTTTGCTAAGTACTTTTTAAAAATCTTTTGGTTTTTTTCGGTCATATTGGGGCTTTTCAACCGATATAGTAGACATATTAAATATTGTTTCGCAAAACAAATTTACTTAAAAAATGTACAAAAATGATGAATACAATTTAAAAATTTTTAAAATGTTAATTTTTTAAATAAAATAAAATAAATATATGAATATTATCATATAAATTAAGTTTGGAATATCATTTTTTTTTAATCTACAGGAAATGAAAAAAATATAAAATTTATTCCATTTAATGGAAGATACTATTCATTTTTAAGAGCTTTCTAATTTGTGTGACGTCGCGTGTCTTAGCTAATATTTAAAAAATCCCCCTAAACTATACGCTTTTTATTTGTTGGAGTGAAGGAAAACCTCTAATATTTATGTAACTTTGATATCCTCCATATATATATATGTGTTTATTAACTGCTTTTAAAACTATTTAATTTATTTATTTGTAGATTGGCATAAATCCTGGTTTGTTTGCAGCATATAAAGGCCATCATTACGCTGGGCCAGGTAATCATTTCTGGAAATGTTTATATTTATCGGGATTAACAGAAGAACAAATGAGTGCAGACGAAGATTACAAGCTTATAGAATGTGGTATAGGTTTTACTAATATGGTTCAACGTGCTACAAAAGGATCTGCTGATTTGACGCGGAAAGAAATAAAAGAAGGCAGTAAAATTCTATTAGATAAACTACAAAAATTTCGACCAAAAATTGCTGTATTTAATGGAAAATTAATCTTTGAAGTATTCTCTGGTAAAAAAGAATTTCACTTCGGTCGACAGCCAGAATGTGTAGATGGGACAAATACGGTAAGCTTTATTCAAAATTCTTATTTGTATTGATTTCATTTAACACTTTTTGTTTTAGTATATATGGGTTATGCCATCATCTTCAGCTCGTTGTGCACAATTACCACGTGCAGCTGACAAAGTTCCATTTTATGCAGCACTTAAAAAGTTTCGTGACTATTTAAATGGAGTAATACCTCATATTGAAGAGTCAGAGTGTATTTTTACAGAACAAAGTATACGGCAATGTTGTGAACAAGAAAATGTTAGTAAAAATTTAATAGTATCCAATTGCAACAGAGAAGAACACGTTAATATAATGTATACAAATAATCCCTCCAATGCAAATATAATTTCACAGCATACTGAAGGAGTGGACACAAACCAAAATAACATTAGGTATGATAATGCACATAGTAGTTTCATATATAATACAACTGGAAGTGTGAATGGTGCAAGTTCAGCTGATCGAGAAAGCAGTTGTGGAGATTCCTCAACAAATAGAGAATCTAACAGAGAACTATCAAGCAATAATGAAATGTATATGCGTGACAATGTCATGCGATCATTTCAAAATCACTCAATACCAGAAAAAAAGAAACGAGGACGCCCAAAGAAGATTAAAACACAAGAAATTATTGATCCAGCAACTGGTAATAAAATTTCAATAAATAATATGCAAGTGGGTATGGATTGTAACAATATTCTTAATTTATCAATGGTAAGTAATAACGCTGGAGAAGTGCCTAAAAAGAAACGCGGAAGACCAAAAAAATTGAAACTAATACCTAGTGAACCTTCTGCTATATTACAAAAAGCAAATTCATCACTTTTGCAAACACCTGAGCAACGACAACTTCAACAGCAATCCCAAAGTATGTTTCTTGCAGAACCGTCGCCCACAAATTTTAGTAATAAATTATATCCAACTCCTTCACCAATTCATTCTCCTGCAATTCATTCAACATCAAAATATGTAGCTGGATCATCTCCAATTACAATTCAAAGTAACCAACAAACGCCACCGTTGAGTAAATTAATAGGTAATCGTCAGGAAGAATCTAAAGAATTAATTTCAGTAGAAGCACATGTTCGTGACACTAATACTGGTTATTATCCAACCCAACTTATGTCAGCATCAAAAATAACAGCAGAATCAACATTGCCTTCTGTAGGAGTAATACCACCAAGTGAGTCCCAATCGACAAATTCAACACCTTCGCCCAATTCATCAAATATTTGCGGTGTAGATTTTGAAAGAGGTACAAATATCAATAATATTGTTGGTAACAATCAAAATATAGAAATGCAACAAAGGGATATTTTAGAGGTACATCAACGTTTGAGTTATGATAATTCAACATCAGAACTTCCTCCTGAACATGCAACAAATAATCATTTTCAATGGCTACCTTCACAACAAATTGATCGAATTCATCATCCGCATTCTGATAATATTAATTTAAACTACCGTGAACCGAATATTTATAATATGCAATGCGAACAATTGGAGCAGCAACACCAAAGTCAATCTGAGAATCGAGGACATATGTCAACATGGCAACAACATCAGCAATGTTTTGATAACTCAAATTATATGTTTACAACCCAAGCTTTGCATCAAAC